TGTGTGTGTGTGTGTGTGTGTGTGTGTGTGTGTGTGTGTGTGTTTCAGAGAGACACTGGCAGGGGACCAAGGAGCCGGTGGTGATTCTGCTGGGCTGGGCTGGATGCAAAGACAAGCACCTCTCCAAGTACAGCTCCATCTACAACGAGCAGGTGGAGGCTAGTTAGCAAAGTTGCTCTGCTCCCTGCGATAGCAGCAGTGTAGCATATGACAGCTGTGCAGAGCTGCCACCAACCTGTCACTCATTCCCCCTCTCTGTCCTCACTTCCAGGGATGTGTCACCATCCGCTACACAGCCCCCCTGAAGACGGTCTTCATCTCCGAGTCGTTTGGCTACAAGGAGCTGAGCAGCACTGCCCTGAGGCTGCTGGAGATCCTCTTTGACTACGAGGTGGAGAACAGTCCGGTTTTCTTTCACATATTCAGCAACGGCGGCTTCATGTTGTACCGGTACATTGTCGAGTTGTTGCACAGCGACAAACAGTTCAGTTCCCTGTGTGTGATCGGGGCTGTGGTGGACAGCGCCCCAGGTAGTGGGAATGTCCGAGGGGCCCTGCGCGCATTGACGGCCACCTTAGGGCCCAAAATAAGTCCTGTTCTGCGGTACGTCCTCTTAGCGCTTTTTGCAGTGACTGTTTTCCTCTTGCGAGTCGTGCTCTACCCGATGACTAAGTACATCCACAAGAACCACTACGACGCCGTGCAGGAGAAGCCGCCCGCCTGGCCTCATTTCTACCTGTACTCCAGAGGCGACCAAGTGATCAGGCACAGGGACATCGAGCTCTTCGTGGAAACCGTGAAGCAGAAAGGTGTCCCTGTGGACAGTTTTGATTTTGTCTCCAGTCCGCACGTCGGTCACTTACGGGATTTTCCTGAGCAGTACGCTCTCAAGTGTCGAGGTTTTTTGGCCACTTGCATGAAGGACTCAGAAGGGATCGAGATGAAGAAGAGATACCGGGTTCAAAATCAATGAACCCTCACAGGAGTTTGCTAAACCATCTCTTAAACTGTCTTCAACAGTCTAAACTAATTTCTTCGCGGTGGTTCTGTAAAATCTGCTCAGGAATGAGTCTGAAGTTTTGTTTAAAGGCGGCTGGAGTTTGATCTGAGCTCATATCGGATCTTGGCACGGTTCTCTGTCCTGGAGCACATAATGGGAAGGTTCCTCGGATGTGGTCTCGCTCTGTTGGGCTTTATCCACATCTGAAAAAAACAGCCTTATGAAACACTGTCATTTGGCACAAAGTTTTAACCCTTTCTACTCAACTGTCATGCACCACATGTAAAAATAACAATACAAACGTAATTTCTATACACTGGAAAATTGGGACTCAAATAAGATGAT